GTAGAGTTCTGGAATACGACCCTAAGTCTACTGTACACATTACAGTCTATGTTATACTAGCTAATTTGTACGTGTAGTCAACGATATCGATGTACTAGCGTACTAGATGCGGCGTTCCATACACACACTGTGTTTTACCGATGTGCAGTTTCGGCACATAACTTCATTTAGTTGGTTGTCAACACTCAAGATGACGGACGAAGATGCGAGGGGACTTGAAAATTAATTTACGTTGGTGTGTTGCTCACATATCGCTATTTGACTAATTGTGTGAACATAAATTTAAAGTTTTAAATTATTCATATTGATTCGTTAAGTAATGTTGTGGTTTTTGAATAATTTGTGTATTATATATAATATTTATTAATCGCAAAATACTAAGCAAAATGTCACATTTTCCAACTCGTTTCCGCAAGCATGTAATGTAAAGACGCGTATTAAAACAAGACAAAACATAATATCATAGATTAATAACCAAGTGTTCTGACTACACAGTAACAAAGTATGTGTATGAATAAAACAGTTACTATGGTTACCACATAAATAATAAAAATATAAACAATACTAGGCTGCCTGGTCTAAATACCTTTCTGCAAGGAAAAGTACATAACATCAATAATTTCAACAACTCGATTGCAATTTTTTCTTTTACTTAGTTTTCTCTTTTTGGTGATTCGTATGTTCTCATCTTTGAAACAACTAAATAATGCCATCTTGTGTGCGGTATTGCAAAAATACTTCAAAAAATATCAGTAAAAAAAATGGGAATAACTTTTCACAGGCACGCGTTATCTGTTTTGGTTTTAGTCTGTATGACGATATGATGACGATAATACTATAGTCTGTCTTTTTTGAAAACGGAGTAAAATGACATTTGCCGGGTATTTTTATAAAATTTCAAATATTCATGTAGTTGTTGTCAACAGTTTAATCGATAGATTGTGAAAGTAGGCAACATTTTCCCAAAAATGTCTGAATTGTGAGTGTTACTACATTCTAACGCCTACTAATTAACGCACACACTCAACATAACATATTTAGTTGCGTTATTTGCCTTTATTATTCCTATGACCGTTGGCCTACTAGTTTCGAAATAAATTTTTATTCATATACATTTTAATAAGAACAGGCGAATTTGATTATTTATATTGAATTATAATGAAATGCTTTAAAATATGTCTCCTCTTTGTATATTTTAACAGATGTACGTAGGAATTTCCGAAGGAATAATGAGTATCGATTCATTACAAATTCGCCTGTCCTTATTAAAATGTATTTGAATAAAAAATTATTTCTATTTAATTTATTTATAAATGGTATCGTTTGAATTATCATCGGATAATTCAAACGATACCATTTCGTTTTTTTATTGCATAAGCGTAACCAACATTCAATCGATAGTTGATAGAATATTTATCGACTGCAATCACTAACTAGCTGCTTGCTTCTGACTCTCGGACGATCCACACACTTAGAGAACGCGTCCCCAGGTGAGGGATGGGTGAAGGCTCAGCAGATGTAAAGGGTAGGAGGAAAATAAAATACCTCTCGCGGAACACAGGCCGGAAATGGACACTCCGTCATCAAACCCCGATGCAAGCTTATTATTATTATTATTCGGTACTGGGTGTTTCGGCTGTAACACACCGGAAGAGATGGCGGTGGAAGAGGCATTCATAGGCCAACGGCGGCGCTCACATCCTGGTGCAAGATGACGACAGCCTTGGCGTAAGGTGGCAACCAGCCGTAAAACCAAAAGCCAACTTTCTACTTCTGGTCAAATAATCAAGAAAACATAACTACTAGGGCGTACTTCTCACGCGACGGGAAAGGTTCTAAGAGACGTGTAAGAAATGCTAGGGCGCACCCCGAAGCGACGATAATAACATCAGAGCACCCCAACAATGTCCAAAACTACGGAGGTCATCAGAATCTGGGACCGGCTAATGTCAGTGAAGTTCGCTCTCGACGACCATGCATGAACGAAATATGCGCATACGCCCTTTAAGTCAGCTCTGCTCGAATGTTAACAAAGAAGCTTTCTGAGACGAAATCGGCGACCTACTGCAATCAACCCCAAACAACAGCGTATAGGTACATAGGTGGCGACTTGGCGGCCATGTTGGTAACAGAACAACGGCGTGCCAAAGAATTCATGGCAACTGGGGACAACATAAATCGGAAAGGTTAGCAGCGCATACTTGAATTTGCATTAACACACACACGATCTTGCAATTGTAAACACATTATTTTCTAAGCGCCCTGAACATCTGGTCACATACATAAGCGGAACATCGTGCACACAGATTGTATCCTATCGTCACCGGTTAAAAACTTTCAGGGACTGTAAAGTTGTTCTTGGGGAACCCCGCTTACGCCGCAACACCTAATTCTAGTCGCTGAATTTACAATGCCAAAAACAACAAAGGTGAAGAAAGAAAGAGTAGCAAGGATACGTTGACATAAGCTGGAACATGACGAAGGGCGCAAAAAGAAGACTACTCTAACATATGGCGGGATTGCCATGTCTTCTGTGAACAAAAAGTCATAAATATGTAGGCGTATCAAAAGGCGCTGTCAGTGGCAACAAGACACTAGATGCTGGCACGAAGGTGGAAAAGAAGGAATGTGAAACCAGAAAAAGCTCTCTTCAAGAAATGGCAATAGATGAAACGCGACGATGACCAGACAGCACATAAACACGCAAAGAAAAACGCAAAACGAGCCTTAGCCCAAGCGAAGTCAACCGTGAGAGACTTGACACAGCATGAATTTAAAATCCACAAAGTACATAAACAACGAACAGTGTACTCTGCTCACAATAAACGGGGTTATCAAAGAACGGTGGAAAGAGTACTACAGCAAGCTGCTTAATGAAACCTTTGCAAGTGACGATCTGCTCGAAATGAATGCCCAATACCATGCATATCGACCATGCATAGAAATTCATCTGGCAATTAAAGGCATAGCTGGCTAACAATAAAGTCCCATCTCCACTGTGGAAGAACTTGCAAGGTAACGGTGTTACGTTCCTCACAAAACGCAATTCTGATCGACGGCATGCGCAATGAATGAAGGAAAAGTTACCTGATCCCATTTTTCAAGGATAAGGGTGATATTGGACTATGCGGAAACTACAAAGCGATTAAACTAATTTCACACACGTTCAAGATATGGAAACCTGTCATCAACAGAAGATAGCTCGAACTTACCGAGTGACTGAAAATCAGTGTGATTTCATGGCAGGCAGGTCAACAACTGATGCTGTGCATTCAATCAGAGTATTGATGGAGAAACATAGAGAGAGCAAAATAGACCTTCATGTGGCATTTATCGACCTCGAAAAAGCTTTCGATGGCGTACCAAGACGGCTAATCTGGCATGCCTTAGAGCATGCCAAGGAGTACCACGCTACTATATAAATTTGATAAAAAATATGTATCATAATGTTACAACAAAAGTTCGTACTTTTGTTGTAACATTATGATACATATTATGATTTCAAACTCAGCACCTGTTCCAGCTGGGCTTCGTAGCCCAACTGGAACAGGTGCTGAGTTTGATGCGGGAGCGGGAGTTCTTCAAGGCACGGCACTGAGCCCTTTGCTTTTCAACCTCGTAATGAACCACCTCACAGCAGACCTGCTACAACGCCCTCCACCTTTGGACAGTCTATACGCTAATGAGATCGTCCTCATTAGTGAGGACTCGAGTGATTTGCACCAAGCACTAGAAGAATAGATAGGAGCACTCGAAAGGGCCGCATTACGAGTAAGTAGAGAGAGAAGACCGAACATATGCATAGCAATTTCAGCGGCACCAATAACAAGAAGCACTCTCTGTTTTCAAAACTTCCACTTAAACAAGTTGAGCATTTCAAATACCTCGGTTCAATAATCTGTAATGATGGGACATTAGATGCAGACATTATTCATCGTATAAACACGAAATGGATAAAATGGAGAGAGCAGACCCCGCCTCACACGGATATCCCTTATTAATATAGATCTGCGAGAGCAACAGTTAAGACCACCGAGTCAGGACAAACCGTGTTAAAGAAGAGTGACCAGAAAAGGGCCGACCTCAAATAAATGGAAATAAGGCCAGGCAAAAGGAGAAGAATCAGTAGCTGCTTTTGCAAGCGGGCAACACTTATACGCAATGAACTGTCATTTTACTCCATCTTAAAAAAAGACAGACTATATCTCCATTACTGCCAGTCTAGCTCATTCCCGACAGGTATGGACTGTCGCGTCTGTCTAACACGGTAGTGATACTCTTTGACAAAATTCAACACAAATAAAACAATATCCACTCTTTACAGTATCACTATTAATAGTGTTTTGTTTGGAACATAATGTGAATGATCTTGTTTATATATTGAAATATTTGCGGGTAGTAGACTATAGCAAGTACCTACAGAAATATATCGCAGCGTTGATGTAATAAGGTCACATCTGCAAAATGACAAGTTTCAGTAGAGAGGTTTTACGAGGAAACTTTTTGTGCTCAAATAGGAGAAAATATATTTGCATAACTTGTTAAATGTAGTTCATTTATTTCTATGATTTTCAAGTGATAAAAGCATTTGAGTAATGATCGCATCATGTGCCTTTATGGTACCAAAGATACCTATTATATTTTTCATAAAGTAGTGAAATGGGTCTACACCTCTCTTAGCTGGGCGTGGAATAAACCATTTGGGTCATTGCATATCGCTATCCTAAAACATTCGCAATATTGTAAGATAGTCATTGTTATAGGTTAGTAGGTATAATTACATACAAATAAAACTGGGCCAAATCTACTAAGTTAGTTTTAATGGATAGGCCAGACAAGGTACATATAAAAATGACTCTAGTCTAATTTGAACAAATTACGGCACTGTAGTTCATAAAATGTTATAATGTTAGGTACCTATGTATAGTAATTTTGCGCAAATTGGATCTTCGAAACTTAGCATTTTTTTTTTGTTTCAGATAGTTGTAGGTGGTACTCACTCGTCTTGATGATCCTCTTGTTCAAATATTTGATCCTGGTCTTCTAGATTAAGGTCGCCAAACTGTTGCTCCACAGAATTAGACATTTCACTTAAGTTTTTTGTTAACACTAATAAATGCAGATTTAGGTAGGTTGCCTATTTATAAAGGAATGCCGTTTAATATTAATCGCAATATTCAGCAGTGTAGCGTATACGGAATCTTAGATTGGGAGATAAAATAATACCAAATAGGTTATAGGATATAAATAGATGACCGGCCAAGGCGTGCACACGTGTTAGTTTAGACAATGTGTTTGTATTCTGAATTACATAATATGATGAGCTCAGAGCAGCCGCTGTACCGGCTAAGCGGCACCCGACAACTGGAGGCAATGAAGTAACGGACGGACGGCGGCGTCGGCGCGGCGTCACCGTCTCAACGAGCGAGTGAGGGCGAAATCGCTCGAATACGATGCGGGGAAGGGAAAACGTGTGCACTGTGCGTACAGTTCGTAGACTATCACGATCACTACTCAACTAAGTTGCCTTCTAATGTTAGGTGCGTGACTGAACGATACGAACGACGACGACTCTACTCGATTCTCTCGCATCAATTTCGTGCAGATTTTGTTTGAGAATGCGCGCGCTGGGCGTGGCTCAACTCGGGGCCCGCGGGGAGAACGTGCCACACCTTAGTGAAGCGCAAGTATCGATTATTTCACGTTTATCGAGTATACTTGTGTTGTTAGTAACTCTACAGCCTTCAGAAGAATTTATTTTTTATAGTTTGGTTGATGTTAAACTTTCACATACCTATTTGAGTGTCATACTTAATTTCGACTAACGCTATTTCGACTCTTCAGTACTTCGAGTATACATTAATTCGAGGGAACACTACTTCGACAAAACACATGTTCGAAAGGTCACTAGTCCCGCAGAACACTGCTTCGACGACACAAACATTCGATAGATCACTACACCGACAGAAAACTGCTTCAACAACACATGTATTCGACAGGTCACTATTCCGATAGAATATGAAAAACGTAATATAAATATTTTCTCTGAGAGACTACTCAGGGCCAATTCACTCTTGGGCGACTCAAAGTCAAAGAATCATTTATTCCGTAAGTAAAATAAATTTACGCTTGAATTTAACCTATTGCTCGTTCACTACGCTGACTTCCCTGAAAAGAACGATCAAGAAACTCTAGGGATTGCTCTTTTCAAATAAATTGAAACGCTATGGAATACACTTTGAATCAAGTTTATGTGGGTTCTGGAGCCATGTCGTCTTTTCATACATCTTTATCTAACACGTAGTCTTCAATTTCACGTAGTCTTGACTTTATAGAATATCTCGTATACTTACTTAAATGTCCGAGAAATAATTAATAACTATCGAGTTCTTAGGTTTTCGCGATTGTTACACATAGGAAATGAAACTATTTTTCCGGATTTAAATCGCGTATATTTGATTTTTCAAACAAACCGACGTTTCGGGCCCTTTACAGGTCCCATGGTCGCGGTTGACAGTCAACAAAACAAATGTACGCGATTTAAATCCGGAAAAATAGTTTAATTTCCTAAATTAATAACTAGTTTAGCAGTTATTTGTGGGTTACCTACTTAAGATAGAATGCCGTTTGATCGAACATTAATTGCTCGAAAACGTTGGCTCGATTATCCATTTGACCTATGAATCGTGAGCTCTGGTCAAACCGATGTTTCAATGCCTCGAAAGATTTAGTTACCTACCTATATGTCGCATTTTGCATTTTTTTATATTTCAAGGTGTGAACAAAACGCTTCAATGCCTCGAAAGATTTAGTTACCTACCTATATGTCGCATTTTGCATTTTTTTATATTTCAAGGTGTGAACAAAACGCTCCGTCTCCTTTTTCGAGAAATCAATTTTTTTGCTGTTGATCGTTAGAGCAAATGTTCTTTCGTGATTTTGATGCTTCGATGTGGTAAGCCTTAGAGCTCTCGATTCATAGGTCAAATGGATAATAGAACAATTTTATTAATGTTCGATCAAACGGCATTCTATCTCAAGTGGGGAACCCGTTATGTGTCGATTTCATGTTTTGTAACAGTGTTTTGTCGGACTAGTGACCTGTTGAACATTTGTTTTGTCGAAATAGTGTACGTCGAATTAATGTGTAGTCGAAGTACTGTCGAGTCGAAATAGTGTTTGTCGCAATTAAGTATAACACTCACCTATCTGTACAACACACCTAGAACCCGTAATAAAATCATCAAAAGAGTTCCGTCCCCAGTGACTAGAGTAGGTACCTACGGATAGTAATACGCCTATTGATGACTTTGTCATTCTTCCCGGGTTTTATAATGTAATAGCAGTATTGCTATTACATTATAAAATATTGTTTATATATTTATGTATATATTGTTTGTATATTTATGTATTGCCGTGGTAACGATAACAACTAGATAGGTAAAACCAAATTAATTTCGAAGAAAAAAACTTTTTCAAAGTCTCTCTACAACATAGTTGATTTAAACATTTCAATACGAATAGCAATTAGGGAACGCATCTAAATTTGACACAAAACCTATCTATCGATAATAGGCAAACAAACGCGGGCCAATCACTAATACGGATAGCAGTTCGTGAAGTATATTTGTTAGCGGGTCCGTACGACGGCGCCCCGCGCCCATGCGTTATCCACAGCGCTCGCTCGGGGCCCGCGGAGGGCGGTCGCCCGACACCGCCTACTTCGTCTGGTACAGGCGTCGCCCGCCTCGTGTCCCGGTTCACCTTAAAATTACAAGTAGGTAGCCGTGTAGATTCAAAGAGAAAATACGCCCTTCAAGTGAACTTACTTTTGCCCTTAGATATATAACATTTTTTTCCATCACAGAAATAACTTTCTCAAGAATTTCGCCATGAACATAAATGCTATTTTTTTTAATTCAGCTATACCACAAAGTACATACTCACAATACAAGGTGTTCAAGTTAGTAATAATAATAAATAACGACATTTTACGAGCGACAGTAAATCACTTCAACAATCAGAACAACGATAATTTACGATGAAGAGTAAGTAGGTACCTATTTAATTTAGCGAAGAAATAAGGGTTTTGTATTATTAACCCTAAAAATACATATATATATAATACATATATATATAATAATACATACGAAAAACGTAGTGTATTATTAAGATTTTTTTTACCGAACCTATATGTCACAAATCGCGACATATGACTTAATACAATACCTTCAACTTACCTACTCAAATAAAATTGTACTTAATAGAAAAGTATGCGTGTGAGTACCTATACGAAGTGACGTTACCTATACCAGAAACACTCGAATTTAAAATCACGATAACTGGGTTAGATGCGGTGATGAGCGATAGGTGCCCGGTAATAACAGCAATGCGACCTAACTTTTCGAAACTCATGGTCACAAAAATTTTATTATTTTTTTTACCTTTATTTTAATACCTATCTAATCTAGCTAGTGGTATGTATTCATTTTGATAAGACGCATACTTGGGTGTAATTAAATTTGTTCAACTACTACCTTTTATCACAATAAAATTTTAACCCTATTTCCGGTCTGAAATATATACCTAGTTGAAGTCTGGACTAAGATTTGCTTTGGTCCTCCAAACTTCTTCCCACTTGAGTGTATTGAAAAGTGACTGCAAAATAGGACAGGCCACTAGTTCGATGAAGTCTCTATTGCTGGCTCGCAGTTTTGTGCTCAAGCTGAGTGCTGGCATTCTATTCTTTATAAAATTGTCAATTTTTGGAAGGTCATTATGAAAAAAAAAAGACAGCTCATAGGTAAAGGCTCTAAATGCAATAAGTGTTAGGGGAGAATGAATATAAACAAATTTAAAAAAGAAAGCTTCAAGCGCGTTGAACGTGCAAACTCGTCATACCTAACTGAATAGTTTAATATTTGGATAATAAACAATGAGATTTCAAAAATACTTTTAAAATCTTAATAAAATGCAATTATAATACCCTCTTTCCAACAAAAAAAAAACAAACGATTGCTTTTTTGTTCTTTTTTTTGTATGTATGAATACAAAAAAAAAGAAAAAATACAGTCGAATTGAGAACCTCCTCCTTTTTTGAAGTCGGATAAAAAAGAAATAGTTACAGCCAACAAAAGTTTACTTTCATTCATGTCATGGGCTGATTAATACTAACGCTAAATGTTAATTGGCTCTGCTAACTTGGCAGTGATAAACCTAGATGTGAAGAACTACGAAGTCTGCGAACAAATGTTAAGTTTTATCATTTTGCATCAATGTACAGTCCAGAGGATATGAAGCTTGACAATTTGATTGGAACATTCTTATCCAATGCGCCATACAGTTGAATTTGGGTCTTAAAAGAGTCAAGCATGTCGTGCTCTTGACCCTGACCACTACCTCAGCCGTTTGTTAGCTCGTGCTACATAAACTTGTTGCTTCGAATGCGAACCCAGACTGCTTGTTTCAAATGTCTCTCGGAATGTTCGGCATAACATGCAAAGACGAGAAGAATATTATCTTAAAACCTAGCGTTTATTTTAGCGTATTGCACGTTCCAAGTACGAAGTACGAACAGCCGAGACACTTGTAAGTACGTCAATAGAAAGGACGATCGATCCAATATTAGATCCTGATATTTCCTGGCGGGAAAATTGCTATCCGGGAAAGTCCAGCTCACGACTTTTTAGAATTACTATCAAATAATTATATCATTAACGCGCCCCAGAGCTTAATCAAGAACGTTAAATTGTTCATATAGTAAGTACATATAGTAGACGTGAACAGCTTTGAATGTGTGCTAGTCGTTGGCAACAAGCATACATTAAATTTTAAGATTATAATCTCTGCCAGCTCCCATTGAAATAGAAACCAGTTGCTTAAAGCTCAAGGACTGAGAATGATATTCTAATTGGACCACCATAGGCACCCCAAACAAAATCGTCCGCACAAGACAGGAGGGCGCGACCAGATTTACATATAAACGTAAAACATGACTAATCGTTGAACAGGATATCTGAACCTGAAACGATTATGAAAAAATATTACCCCTTATAAAATGCACGGCGCTTACATAGATTTCAACCCTTTAAATATGCACGAATTTCAAGGTGAATTATTATTTGACAGGTTAACAAAAAAAATAAGCGAATTAATTTCTAAGTAATAACTGCTATTGATGAAACTCAATATTAAAAACAAATAAAAATTTTGATCAGTTTGCGAAGGATCATGAACAACGACGGCTACGGTGACATCTCGCCTTGACCATATTCGCTGAAACATTCTCACCTATTGGCTTTTAAAAAATATAAATTCCTTGTTCTGAATCGACTGTACACCTGCAGGAATTTGAGTGATCATGATCAATCTCAACGTTCACATTAATTTTTTTTTAATGAACGTCCAACAAAAACATACTGACAAGTAAAGTCTGTTACGAAAACGGTCTGATACAGATATAAAAGGCGAACATACTACCGCAGAAATAGATTACCTACGTTGTTTAATTAGTAAAATATCAAATGGCTATTGGAACCCTATAGTAACGAAACGAACAATAACCGCTCTGTAACACAACAGTGGCGGCGCAGCTTGATTCCTATCTAAGTTCCAC